GAATAAGACTGATCTACTGAAGAAAAAACAGCGGTGGTTCGCGGACCATTCCAAAACTAATGAAGGTGTTTTGCACCCTTTAACTTTAAACACCACATGTACAAAATCGGCCCTTCGGATGACTATAAGGGCAGGATGAGAGTGAAGGATCAGGATACGGCAGAGTATATATCATATACTCAAAATTAGGATATCATGGAACTTCAGAATATCAAAGACAAGAGAACGGACTTTATGCGAGGACTGAACTTGATAGCGGGATCATAAAATGAGAGTGGGCCGCAATAAATCGGTTGGTGGTAGCGGAATTCTTATTACTTACTGAAATTATTTTGCATGTACATATTACATTTATACATGTAACGAAGTACAACAACAGTAAACTAACAAAAACTAACCAAACCACAAGTAACACATATTCCAAACTAAGGTGCAATGACACAACATTGTCTTTCTTCACACCAATTTAATCCTTTTTATAAAGGAGTCAAAACGTTAGTAAATGTTTCGAAGAAGTCTCGCCATATTTTTTGCGGGGTCATTTTTACCTACTAAAAAAATGACCCAAATTACGCAAGCTTAAGGAAATTAACATTAATTTTAGTTTATTTTCTTTAATTGCTTGCAAAAAATCGAATTTCTAATAACTTAATTTCTTAGAAAATCTTATATATAATAATAACTTAGAAATTCAAAATAATTAACTATTTTTTAAGCTTTTTTTAGAAATAAATTATTAAAAGATAGTTACAAATTTAATGCATTTTATGGCAACTAGGCAACATGACAAACTAAACAAACTATATTTGGTACTAGGAAGATTTCATGTTTTAAAATAATACTAAATTAATGACAATAATTTATTAAATTCATGATGAACAAATTAATTGTTCAATTATACCACAATAAATGATGGTACGTGAAAGCATTTTAATGTTCAAAATGTTGTCCCTTAAGCAGGAAACGTAACCCACACTTTTTGCGTAAAATATTAATGACATTTAAAAGATATATTTGATGCTATTGCTTGACGTAATTGATCTACACTATTATAATTGTTTCGAAATATTTTTTTAAGTTTCTTCTGTACCTGTAATACCCAGATATTTGTGCGGTTTAAATCTTCCTTCATACGTGATAATAGCACAGGCTTGCCACCCAAAACAAAAGAACTAACTCCAAATCTACTTTGCTGTTGACATATACATTCATTAATACTCAACAATTAAAAAATCTTTTAAAAAAATTATAATTATTTATTGAGAGCAGAAATACAAAAACGTCCTGGCTTACTTACTATAAGATGTATTAAGTTTTGCACCGAAGAAAAGATTTATTTAGCAAGACAAACAATAGCGATTGTGGTATATTATTGAAAAAAGAAAAAAAGGTATGTTGTGGTTTGAACTTGTCAATGGTAAACTAAAATTTATTAAATTTAATATTAAATGTCATTATTGCCATTATTAAATTGAATGATTGATTGATTAAATCGATTTTTATTTTTATCTCTTTCCGATATATGGTGGTTTCCAACCTCTGGTGGAAAGTAGATGCAATGCCGTGATTGTTCATTCATACGCCTTAGTATGTTAGTGTAAAATAAAGGTAAAGAAAAACATTAAACATTTCTATACTAAAATAGAATTTTATTTATTAATAATGAATATATTTAGGCCGCCAGCCAAGGTTTTATTTGTCGAGTTCAGGAACGTCCCAAAAAAAAGCGTACGTGAAAATTATATTCCCCTAATTTTTGGTTTCCTTGAATACGCCGTTAAATTCGCGTGCCTATAAAAAAATTTCTGTCAGCTTAGTATTGCACCCTCTCCATCCCCACATCCCCGACAAGTGAAATTCCTTTTATTTACATTTTCGCCCTTCTACGATGTAACTAAATCTGTATATCTACGATTTGGGCAATACATTATACCTACCGTTTCTGTTTGTACCGTTTTATCTTCCACATTGACGTTGTGTGGAAATCACCGAATAAAGTGTCGTATCAGAATAATATGTCAAACTAGGACTGCTTATTGACAACTCAGTAAAAGTGACATTAAGATGGAAAGAGGTAATTAGGTTTATACAGATATTTATTTACGAAGTCTGTAAATTATTTCCATATTCTGTTTAAAGAAAAAAAACCACGTCAAATTTTGTTACATTTAATTTCTATAAATTTATCTGTACCAATGATTTAAATTTAAATTTAAAGCTACAAAAAACACTTTTAGGGAATAAGTAGGAAATGCACTTTTTTAGCCCTGTTTACCTAACAAGTACGAAGTTTGCTGTTTTAAGCTAACATTTCACACTCCATATTCACCTTATTGCTGTGCCCGATGCCTTTCGCCATTTTTTAAGATCCTTTTTGCATTATTTCAATTTACCAATTTCAAGTGTGTACGATACATTTTGAAAAAATTTTGATCAAAATTGGATTTTTTGAAAAATCTGACTACGTCATCTTCTCACCACCATTGGTGAAATCTAATTCAGTGTTATTGCGTATTACAGCTCGTGATAGGAAGAAATTTCTATCATTTATTATTTTCCATGTCTTACCTAGTTCCAGGTGGAGTTTAAGTTAGCGTTTCATTCGATAGAAATTATATATATTATATTTAATATCCCATGGCTGGTGATTTAATTATATTCCTTGTAATTCACGTTGAGTTGAAGTGAACATTTTGGAAACCAAAAAATTTCACAATCAGTACTTTAACATCGTTGTTGTATGATTTCATTTTTAAAATCTTCGCAAGAAATAAAAAAACAATTTCCTAAATTTTTAAGCAATTTGGACACTAAATAGTTCCGTACTTTAATTGACTAGAAGGTCACACTTTTGCAGACAGTTCCTGGAAGGACACAGCAATTCATTCCTGGCATACTATTTTAGATGGAATGTCGATGGATGGTTTTAAAATAAATTTTGAGGTTTAGAATGAGGGTTTGTTGAGTTTTTTGAACAGCAGACCCTGTATATGCTTTTATTTTCGATTTTTAGGAATGAAACAAACCCAAGTTTTCCTATACCTATCTCTACCGTCTTTGATATAAAAGTCAATTTTCATGTTTTTACGTAATATCAACATTGAACACCATCATTACGAAGAAAGTTTCGCACGTAGACAGAATGAACTCTGTATCACCTCATTTTCATTTAATTTTAGTTACTTTGCAACAATCAATTAAATAAAAATGAGGTTCTGCAAAGTTTATTCGGTCTATGTGCTAAACTTACTTCGAAATGACGATGTCCAATACTATACTATATAAAAATTAATTGAAATTAATTTTTATTTCAAATACGGTAAAAGACAGGTGTTCGATGGTCCAAATTGTTTAAAATTCTAGAAAATCACTTTTTACTTCCATGACGGTAAGACAGGTATATGAAAATTAAATGATATAGAGTGTGCCATTTTAAGTAAGGATGATGCCACTTTTATATGGAAGCGTCAACACTGCATACTTAAAAATATTTTATAACGATAGTGCCCCCCTCTTACTTCACCCTGTATAATTTAAACTAAATCCGTTGATCGTTTCGCCAGATACATCTAATAGGAAATCCACTGTGTGTCACCCGGTATAGCAGCTATTTTTACGGAAATGTATAAATGGCCATCACTTACTTATTTTAGTATTGTTTGGACTAGACTTACAATATCAATAAAAATATACCAAGTGTCCCAATAAAGACAACGGAGTTGGTACGAGGTATTGGAGAAACGGAGGGTCCTAGAAATTAAAAAAAAACATTTTTTTTATTTTTGAGACTTTGTGAATTAAACTTTTTTTAATTCTCTAGTACTGTCCCACCCATCACGAAAGCAACTACTTGTATATGCAAGTACCTGTATATGCAAGAGTGTATAGACATATAAAATAAAACCGTTTCCTAAGTCTATTAACAAAAAATAATGAATTTTTGGGGCGAAATATGGCTTAGAGGCTAACAAATTAAAGAAAAGTACAGCCAAGTGACCTGGCCTCCCGATTTATTTACACGTCAGTCGGGCGCGACTACGAACTTCCATATTATGGGGCTGGACGACGACAGCACATATAGGCTGTGTTTAGAAGAGGAGGAAATTTCAATTCTTCTCCTAAACAGTTGCGTTCCACATTGAGCCATATGAATTATCCAAACTCTCCATGAAAGAGGAAAAGAAAAAATCTAAAAGAGTACTTCCTCGAGAGTAGGCGAGGAAGCGAGAAGGATATGCGGTCATAATGGATCAGATAGAATAGGAATAGGATACACGTTCGGTTAGCATCGTTCAAAACAACATGTTTTAAATCAATCACTTTAGTCATTTTTTTTTCTCCAAGGCTTTTCACCGAATGTTATATATATAAAAGCACTCGTTTATTTTGGTAACACGTGCACCTAAGCTTTCTAGGAACTATTAAGAATAGTTTTTAATAAGAGTTATTGGATTTAAAAAGTAAACTGTCAATTTATTTCCTTTTTATTTATTTTTATATTTTTTATTTGATTAAACGATATATTACTAATTAGTCGCAAAATGCAAAATTAACGCAACGCTAACGGGGCGCCCAACATAAATTAACTACCGAACGAATTGAAATTAAAACAGAAACAACTCGATACTCTCGCAACGGCGATAGCGGTAAACTTTTGACTCTTCAAACGGGCCACTTTAAGCAAATCCATTCCCTTCCGGGCAAAGGACCAAAACCGCTCCAGTCGGACGAATTAAGTGTCGATATCGGTTCGGTCGCATTAAAAAACATTCGCCGACAAATTATAATCGCAAAACGTCCCGTCAAACTTCCGAAGGGATGCGGCACGGTTGCCGAGCGACCAGGGTGAGTGGGCGGAGTCCCGGCAACGTCGACCAATGGGACGGGAACTACCGACGCGCAGCGTCTGCGAGTGTGTAATGTATCGTCTAATAACGCTGTAATGTCTGATATTATTAGGATAATACATTTCAAATCGTTTAGTTTGGCCACCACTGAGCTTCAGTTGAGTTGCAAGTGCGTATGATCTAATTGATAATTATTCGTCGTTCGTATTGGTATGGCGAACACATTGCATGCCATGTGGTGAATTGAGGTTTGGCGCAAATTGAATTTTTCAAAAATCAGAGTTTTTCAAACTTTGAAGCAGTTAGGTCGATTGTACTAGTGCGCATAGAGCTAGTGCTAGTGTTTTATACGCGGGTAGTGACGGTTTTTGAGGAGGCAATTACCAATCGCAGGTACCAAAAATATTCGTTTTTCTCCCCAAGCCACTAACGGAAAATTGTCCTAGTTTTGTTTTGATTTTATTGACCATTTGACCCATGTGAATAGACAAGGTGTCACGACCTCAGTGGCGAGCTTTAATAATTAATAATTAGATTTTTTAGTTGTGCCCTAAGTAGTAATAACTTTAAATTCTGCGAGTTGTGCGATTTCACTAATTTTTTATATTTTGTTATTATATTGTTAGGCGTAATTACGTAGCATAGACTTCGTGATAAAATAATTATAAAACAATAATTAAATTAAGTAATGAATGTTAAAAATAAATTCATTACCCCTGTATTTGGAACAATTTATATAAGAAGGGTAAAAATGGTCCCAAACATAAAATTTTTGATTAACATAGGCACATATCTACCTCTAAATGAGTCCAGTAATTTGGATATTTTTCATATAATTAGGATATGGAATGAAACTCATATGAATAGTTTTAAAAATAATTTTTCAAAGAAACTTTCACAGGCTACTGTACTACTTTTTACAAAACTTTTGGGTGAAACTGCTTAAGTTTCAGTCAAGCTCTGAAGAAGGCAACAGGATGATTGGCGAAACGTTAGCAAGTTCGACACACCAAAAACTGTCGCAGGAGGAATCCAGAAGTTTTGTAAAAAGTAGTTTTATAATTAGTTTTACAATCCTTAACCTATTTTTTACATTTTTTCTTATTTTTTCACGATGACAAGTTATTTCGAAAAAAAATTGCTGCCAAGTACATTATTTTGTAATTATACTTGACCACTATTTTATTTTACCTATAAAACAACTAAACTATTTATTTTACCTATAAAACAAAAAACCTTCATAATGGCAAATATGGCAAAAAACTATTGCCATGTTGTGCTGGGCTATTCTTATAAAATGGTCCATCTAAAATACACGATCGCTAGCCAGTTCGGAATTTTAGTCATGGGTTAAGGGAGCGATCGATTTTTTTCGGTCTACTTTTGCCATGATATTTTGATGTTTGCCAGTTCTGAGGTCACTCAATAAATGTATTCGTGCTAATGACTACAAAAAGTGTAGTAGGCAACACGTTGATAAACTTCTTCAGTCACTTGTTCCAAATTAAACTCGTGACTAAAATGATGTTTCAAATATATTGCATAACACACTATTACCGTGCATTTCACGAGGACATATCAGCTTTCGACCTACTAAACCACAGTGGTCAAGTAAAACAAAGATCCCAATTTTTGTCATTTTGAAATATTTAAACTATTTAAACTACTATTAAAGGGACAATCAACTGAATGAAAAAACAGAAAATTATTTATCTTTCTTTTCTTTATTGTAAGATCTTGTGTTAACATTAAAATTTTTACTAATCACAAATTTCTGCATTCTTTGGTTCAAGTATAAAGAACAGCAGAAAAGTGTTTTTCGTCTCAATAACTACATTGCATGATTTGTCACCAGCAATTTATCAACACAAGTTCTCTGTTTATTTTGGTGAGTAAATGTGGTGTCACTAAATTCTCGTTACCGCATTTATTTTCCTGGCGATATAAGAAACTGTTAGACATTTTTGATACTTTAAGCGGAGAACTAATAATAATCCAAATAGACACAATAAATCAATGGCGTGTGAGATTATAATGCAACAATATTAAAATTAAAAAAATTTGATCACACTTTTAGAGATAATGCAAATCAAATTCGATGCCTTTAAACGTTCTTTAGAAATATTCAATAGATAAGCACAAATAAAACAAAACAATAAAGTAAATACACCCAACTGTGAAACACCTCTTCGATTTGTTTGCATAAACTTTTTTACATTGTGGTATTTTTGATATCAGTCTCGTAATATCAATATATTCACAAATACCTTTTAATTTGATTTCAATTGATTCGTTGTAACGTTTCCACGTTAAAAAAATATGTATTTCTTGCAAACGATTTCGCTATTGCCAAAAGAGGACTTGGACGAGATCTTATCAAGACATTTTTTGTTTTATAAATTGAATTAAATTTCTAATCAATCCATGTCTGTTGAATACATAAAAAAAAAATTATGTTTTCATATAAAGATATTATTCCTTTCAAAGTTATTCAGGAAAAAGCCCGACGATGTCCAGTACTACCAACTAGCGTAGTGGAAATGATCGGTCAATTTATTTTGTGTCAATTGATTGGTAAATTGAATTGAAATTTTATTTTATTTATTTGTATTTATTTATATTGCGCGTCACGTTGCCGTGGCGTCGTTCTGGGAACCAAATGGAGTCGATATTATTATTGGGGTTCCCCGAATCGCTATCGGAGTTTTCTTGAAGAGGGTTTTAGGTAAATTGAATATCAAAAATGCATAATAAAATACATATTATTGTTATTAAATAATGAATAGATAACACTTTACTTGCAAGATGTTATTTAAAACACGTCAATTGAGGTCAATTAAGAAGTGGTCAATGGACCATTCCCAACACTACTGGCAACATTGCCTTTATCTCAGTGCATTATCTCACCCGAACATTTTCGTATTTCTCAATATTATCGAGTTATAAAGGAAAAAGATTCTGAATGTGGTAAATTGGGGCATCAATATTCGAAATGTTTCTCTTGACTTTAATCTCAATAATGGAGGTCCGAAAATCCCTTACTTTTATCGAATCATTGTCTACCACATTTTCAAAAGTTTCTTACATATCTGCGCCTATACGTATAATCTGCTGCTTTTATAAATTATCTATTGTTCTGTGGAATCATTTTCAACCTTTGTTCTATTAAATATTGAAGCCGTTATTTTTGAAGCGCTTAATTACTTTTATTTTGCGATCGCAATTTTGAGATGCGAGAAGGCTCTAAATACGAACTATAATTATTTTCCAAACCTTTTCAGATTTTCTAACGGAACTGGACCACAAACGTTCAAAACATCGACTTTCTATTTCAGGCGTATCCGCTAATCCGACAGGATCGTCGCTCTACGGACACAGAAGGCGATCTTCGTTAAATGTATGTGGGACACGCCAAGTGACACATCAACGTCCCGCAGGGACACCACGATGGCCCAGTACGTCGAAGACGGCTCGCATTTTATCAGCAATTACCAAAACAAACCGCTAAATATGGACACTAAAATTCAAGAGAACAAAGGTTCTTTCTGTATTGACGCTCTGCTGTCCCGAGGCGATGAACGACCGATGAGTCCCGAAACGTCACGAAGCATCTCACCGACGTCGACGCGGAGCAGGAGTCCACCAATTTCACCTGGGTGCGAAGACGTACCATCCACCACCGGGTTCGTCCCCCGGCCTGGATTGTTAAATCATATTTATCCCGGCGGGGCTGGCTTTTACGGATATCAAGGTCAGCCGCAGGGTTCCGCATTCCATTCGTTAGATGGGACCATGGTGCAGAAGGTACACCTGCCAGTAAACCCTCACGGGCAGAACCACTTTCAACAAATGCAGCTAGAGTGGTTGGCCAGAACCGGTATGTTTTACCCGAGGTTGCAAGACTTGACTGGTAAGTTTTTGGTCTTAAAAAGTTTGAGTTTTTGGATTATCAAATTTTTTGGATCGAGGGCAATCTTTTTTTAAAATGATATTTGGCCAGCATATAACTCAGCATACTTGTTACACACTGTTTACTATAAGTTACTAACAGTAAAGGGCTACAAAAAATACAAAATTACCCCAGCCCACTTGATTATGGTTCAAAAAACTACGAACATGTATCACAAAGACCTAGACATCTTCATTGCTTAAATATACCCAAAATCTTTTTCTATATCTGCTGGATGGCTTTTTTTTAATATCCTCTATATATACCCTTACCTGATTGAGAATTTTTAAAGAAAATCTATATTTCAATGTGGACCACATAGGCGACCCTTCTTTGAATTATTTTGGTATAAGCTACAAAGGTAATACGGGCTTTTGTAAATCTTGTAGCCTCGCTTACAGGGGGAACGCGAAGTTTCGCTTCATGGGGGCTATCAAAGCAAAGTTGATTACCGTTGACGCTATCTGAATCGGGCTCTATATATATACAAGCTGTTAGAAAATAGTGCATTGTAAATTGATACTGACAGATACTCATACGACTGTTTATGCTAATTATATTTTTTGAAAAGTGACGAATATCAAAAATTAGGTTTATTATACACACATATTTTTATGGATTCATGGGACCATTATATATACATGCACCTTGAAGACTTTAAGTTCATCAATTTGCTATAAACAAATAATTTTAAACTATGCAACATTCTAATGTATTTTGGGATTTTTAGTACTGTAGCTGACAATCACTTTAACTATAATAATAAATCTCATTGCATATTATTATGCTTATTAAAATTTTGTAGTAAATTTCCACCGAGTCTCGAATCCAAATTTAGAGAATTAATAATAAACATTCAGATTTAAAAGAATTTTGAAACCACTAAATATATTTTTTCAAGTTTTGTTTGAATTCTTTTGCCATAGGTGTAGCGCTGATAGTAATCATTAATTTCGGTGAAGTTTTGACTCACTCAACAACAACACCTTTGTAAAGCGAATTCGATAACGATGGCATGTTCACGATTTAGGCCTATTCTTCCGATTTTTTTAATAATTGCATGTATTTTCTCGCTTTAATAATTGACTCGGAAACTGTAAATGTGAAAGGAAATTCAACTAATAGTACCCACTACTTCATTTAATTTTCAATGGACATATTGAAAGGTAACCTCCTCTTCCTAAAAGAGATAGAGGAAAACTGATGAACGGGGCTCAATTTTCATAAAACAAAAAGAGCACCGTTTCAGAGTTATAAGCTATTTTTCGACAATGTGCATTATTAAAAAGTCCCTGAACTTTGTTTCTATGAAAACGTTTCCATCAAATTTAACATACAATTTAACAATATAAATATAATATTTTTAATAGGTTTAATAAAATCATAGAAAATAACTTAAAATTACCTTTTCAGAAATGTACCAAAAAATATAAGGTTTGGATTTTTCAGATAAATACTAGTACAGCCAACAGAAAAAACTGGCAAAATTCTATAGGGGCATTTGAAGTGCCCAGTGGGGTTACCGTGTGGAATTATTTAAAACCATTATTTCTTGTAACCAATATATGTCTGACCTGTATCACAAAATGTCTTTCAGCCGTCATTTTTTTCTCAGGATATTGGGATGCATTCTTTCAGGCTTAACAGCACCATATAAAACATCATTTTTTCTGATGCTAACCTATACACTATTAGCTTAAAAATATATTTCATTCCAGTCTATTCTTCGCACCAAATGTTTTTCCAAAAACACTCTATAAATTTGAAAAGGGGAAAATATCTATATACAAACAATAGGCGTTGACATCAGTTTCGTATATGTTTTTACGAAGAGAAATTACCCTTTAAAACTCTCTAATTTGGCCACTCTCTAAATCAAAAGGTTTTCTAAAGTCAAAGCATCGATTTTTTCTAGTCTAACAAAATATGCGACACTAATTTAAACAGATGAATAATTATTAATTATTTACTATTAATTAATTTAAACGTAGCTAGTTTTTGCCTCTCTATGAGGTTTAAAATGTTCATTATTTTTTTCCAATCTCTATGTCTATATTTAAAAGTAATTCATGAGTGTAAATTGGAAAACCCGAAATAATTGTCCTATCTCTCGACCTAATCCGTTATTAGTCGGTTAGATAGCGTTAAATCCGCTGACAGATTCAACGAGGCATTTAGTAAATATGACATGCGATAACGAGTACGATTTGAAATCGATTCGAATTGTAGAAACAATTTCCTAAACCTATTAACCGTTATTAATCTACTTTTTTGATTATTTAAATTCAGTCCACAGTTGCTTGAAACAAGTTTTGTTGTTTTCAAAGGTTTACTTGCTTTATTAACACCCAAAAATGTTTAACACTATATATAGGACAGGTACATTACCCAAGGAATGGTTGCTACAAATGTTTGCCATCATCTAAAAAAACCGTGCATCAGCGTTGAAAATATTGCCGAAGCCAATACATAACAGAATGTATAAAATCGTAGAATAAGATATCAGCGAAACTCAGTTCAGCTTTAGAAGAAGGAATCTGGACGCTCGTAACATCAAAATTATTATGAGACTTTACTTCAATGAGAAAGTGGTTGTAAAAGTAAAATGGAAAAATACTGATGAAATTAAAATCCGTAGAGGTGTGAGGTTAAGGTGCGTGCTATTAAACCTTTGCCCTTTACTGAATAATGAATCGATCTCAGCTCCTCAGAGCTTTAGGTCAGGTGGTCGCAACTGTTTTAAAAAATAGAGGCATAGTACAATACTAAAAATAAACTGACTAATATCATGTAACGAGAAGAATGCGAAAGTAGACACTATTTAATGAGGGGAAATAATTACCACTTATTGCCACTCATAATGCAAGAAAAAATACAGGGACGGAGAAGCGTAGGAAGAAAGCGCCATTCTGATGAGTGATTTAGTGATTATTTTCTAGCAAGGTTAAGTTTGTCAAGGAACGGACTATTCGATACTCCCAATTTTCGATTCTCTAATCTTTCTGGTATGTTGCAGTGTGTCACAGATACACTCTTATATCAAAACAAATCAATTGTCTCAGAAATCCCTTAAATTTCAAAAAAAAAATCAACAAACTAAAATCGATAATCACTGTTTTATCGCATGACGGACACCTTGCAGAAAGAATATTAAGCTAATTCGGAGGTAAAATTTGGAATTTTTATATGAGTTTCATGTTTACGTTGTATGGGTTAGGTTGATAGTGTTTTCAAAAATTGATTGATTGATATCGTTCGCGATTCAGTGCCTTCACGGATTCATCCGAATTTTCAACATTAAAGCAAAAGTTTACCGGTTTCAAATCCAAACACAAAACAAATTGAAGGCTTATTTGGTCCTGCAGTAAACGCAATTAAAAATTACATGTTTCGTATTTAATAATACTTTGCTTTCCACAAAACTTCGGCTTAGACATTACACTTTAAATACGATAAAAATGGATTTTGTCTTAAAATGCTGTTTTCTGCGTCACTTTCCGCGCACCACACAAACACAGTCATGAATAATGCTTTAATATCGCTTATGCAGGGCGAATGAGTTGATCAAAGGTTCACGGGTAATATGCAAACATCATGAAATACTTCCAAACGGTTGCGTGGGTTTACTGTTGCCGGCGACACCATTGAGGAAGTAAAAAGTGTAGACGAGGCAAAGAAAGGCCAAATATAATTTAAACCATAGATGAAGAAAGTGAAAATTGGTTACAACAACTGTTTCTATTGACTGCAAAATGTAACACAACAAACATCAATGCGTTAGAAGTTTAGTTGCTCAAAACTATAGTACGTATCGAGTATCAGTCGAACACAGCAGTTGCTTTTAATTTTTTATAAGTCGTGAATCAGAATTTTGGGACGGAAGAAATGAAGATATAGACATCTTAACATTTTCTCCTCCTCTTTTATGACGTGCTGGACTGATTTTAGTCATTTCTCTGGTGTTATTTCCTCAATAGCCTAATCAAACAGTAGTTGGAGGTCTAAGGTTGTACGGTAATTATGGAAGTCGTTTCGCGTCTTGCTACAAATCCTTTCACGTGTGCCCGAATAAGTTCTATAGGATTTAGTTAGATATAGCGATATGCTATTCTGTTGTATATTCCACGGCGTATGTAATAGTTTCTACTTTATCAAATTCAATATTTTTGGTGGTTAACCAGTTGATAATTTCTTGTTTTCTCCAAGATGAACTTAGAGTCTTTTCTTTGCGCCGTGAATGATAACTTACGTCATCCATAACTACTACTGAGTCAGCCGGAAATTATTTTATCATTTCACAAAACTACTGTTCAATGACAATTATTATTTTCTTCCTTACCCCTGTTTACAATTTTATCTTGCCAAAGTTTTGGTATCTTCATTAATCCATACCACTCTACTCTAGGTTATACTACTACAAGTATTTTCGTCGTTAGGAAAGAATTTTAAAATTTCAAGTGTCACTGGAAAATAACTTGATCAAATTGACTACATGAAAAAAAAATCATTTTATAGCTAACAAAAAGCCCCAATTTTAATGTGTTTTGTAATGTAGAGAAAATTAACTTTAAAAAAATCATTCAATTTGTTAAACCAGAGTTAATATGGATGAGTAATTTAATATTGCAATATCACAAGAAAGGTTACCCGAAAGAAAGGAAGGAAACAGCTTAAAATGGTTTTTTTGTATCTCTAACGTTTTTTTTTGCAAAAAGCGATTTTGTTGAAGGATTATTGTAGGTATTCATACTTAGTTAATATTAAACTAGCGACCGGAACCGGCCGAGTCGTCGAGCTCCGTAAATAAGCCATAAACAAGAATGTTGTAGTGTTTAAAATTAAAATTTCAGTTACAGTCCAGCACACAATAAATTGTCATAATTTGCTTGGACAAAAAAAATCGGTTTACAAGTGTTTCTCATTAGCGGGAGCTATTTTTATTGTAGTAGTGTCAACAACTT